CGATAAAGATGAGGGGCCAAAGAATCGGACAAATCGCACGGGGCCCTGAGTCAACACCACCACCATCACCCATCCCCCATCCCCCATCCCTCCTCCATACTCTATACTTGAACAATAAGCTCATCCTCGAATTCGTAATTTGTACCTCATTTTCAACACAGCAGTTTGTTTCAATGACAAATCGATTAAGGTGTTCACTTTGCCGATTTCTGTGTAACATCTATGTACATACATAGGTGGTATGTTAAAATACTGACTCCAAAAAGCACAGTTTCTAAGGATAAAGAAAACAAAACGTAGCCGAAAAAGCAATCGAGGCTTTTGTACATATGTACATATAACAGTTGTGCAAACAATTCAAGGTTATCTGTATAACAGTTCATAAAGGAACTTAACGTCAATAAACTTTTATTAACGTAAATCTATTAATAGTAATCACTAACTAACTAATACAGTATTGTAACAGTTATAACAGGTTTATAACAGACATGCAAAAGATTTTTAGTTTGATTTTGCCGTAGAAAATTGCCTATCGAAATAAAGGGAATGTGGTGCCGAGTATTCGTAGAACAGTAGCCACCACAATCTGTGTTGTATCCCCCCCCATTTTCATTTTCCCACTGCTTCCTCTGCATTCGTTATCTTTCTCTTCCCCCCACACCACAATTTGCGTACATAATGTACTTGTTTCCACATATGTACATACATACATATATACAGTACGACTGCATATGTACATATGTACATAAGTATCACACCAACTTTTTGCCATTGATAAGAATAATGAAGTTAACTCAAAGACCTCCCATTCCGTATATGCCACATATGTATACCATCCGACTACTCTATATTTATTATCCCCCCATTTCTTTGCTTCCTATTTATTTCATGTTCTACCAGCTCTTTTTTTTTCTCCTCTTCTTCCTGCCCTCTTGAACTGTTCTAAAAATAAACTAATTGCCGCAGCGCCTGCAGTTTTTCGTTTTAATTTTATTCTTTTTAATAGTCCTCAAAAATTCCATTCGCCTGAGAAATTAAATTTTTGTCATGATTTCTCACCTATGCATGTACATATGTATGTACATACATACATATGTATTAACATATAAGAAAAATAAAAAATAGGACATATTATTCATACCAACAGATGCGGTAATGTTTCTTGTTTTTGCTTCTTTGTCTGACTTTTTGGCGATTTTCGGTGTTGTTTTGTTTTGTTTCGTTTTGTTTTGCCGAGTATTTTTATAAATTTTTGATAAACACGAAAACGGTTCACGTTGACAAAGTCGATTACCTCACATAAAATATTTGCAGTGCCCGACAACACAGCCAGAAAAAAAGGAGAAGCTGAATTTAAAATGTTTTTTTTCTCGGCAATGACTGTGTGCCACGCCCCTCGTCTGCCTTTCGGCCCGAACGCCCATTCGGGGTTGTATCGGTTTGGACCATCTTTGGCGAACCCAAACATCCCACTGCCCTTCTATTTTTTCTGTTTCATCTTCAAACGTTTGAATCTTTTTGCACCCTTTAGAAAACTTTAAGTCTATGAATATTGAATATCCTTATAATTCATTATATAATATAAATGGAATGCAAAAGTAGACTTCTAAAATTGCTTCTGCGGCAAATATTTTTAAAATTAATTAAATCTTCAAAACCTAAAACCCTTAACCAAAAAAAAAAATAAAAACGCCGTTTTAAATTATGTAAAGTATGTACATACATATGTACATACATATTAAAGAAAACTATAAACTGTATACATAGGTCATCTAAGGGACAATCTAAAAGAAAAACTATTATTTACAGGGTATTCAACTTTTTGCCCAGCTTTTTCGTTCGTCTTTCTTGGGCTCTACTTTTGTGAATTTTCCTTGTCGTCGCCTTTTATTATTATTACTACTACTACGTTTTTTTTTGTTGTCGTGTGAGCCGTGCTCTGCCAACGTCGCTGCCGGCGTCATTGCCTCGGCCGACGTCGCTGCTTTTCGACGATTTGCGCTTTGCGTTGCGCTTACTCACAATCAAATCTCACGCCGCATTTTTAGTCTCAATAATAACTGAAACGAAAAACACGCGCAGCCCAAACGAAGCGCAAACCAAAAAGGAAAACGAAAGAAGCGAAAAAAGTAAAGAAACGGGTAGAAAGAAAACGCAAAGCGAAAACGACGACACATCGTCAAACGTCAGTTCAGTTGCCTTTTATTTATTTTATTCCGACACTCTTTTCCTCTATTCGTTTTATTTTCTTTTTTTATTTCCGAGTGCTTGTGTGTGTGTGTGCTCATTGTTTTTGCATTTCGCGTTTGCTCAAATAGTAAATTAAACTGTTTTTAAAGTGTGAGCGAGAGGAGGTGGGAAAAAAAGGGAAGGGGCGAGAGCAACTCGTTCGTCGTCACTCGCTGAGTTTTTTGTTGTCGTGGGTCGTCGCCTGTTGTTGTTGTTGTATTCCACTGACTGGGTCGCTCTCCCTCCTTCGCGTTCCATTCTTGTTGTTTTTGTTTAAGTTGTATTTGTTGGTGCAGCATAATTAGACGCCGTCGATTTCTCGCGACTTTGCGAGAGTAAAAGCGCTGCCCGCTCAGCTGTTTTCCCGCTGGAACTAGCCTTTTTCATTAAAGAAGCAGGTGCAACTTGAGAATTGGAGTTTAGCAGCCAAACCATTTAATACTGAATACTGAGCCAAAAGATTTAAAATAGCTAAAAAAAAATAATAAAATTTTTATTTAAAACTACATACGTAAAACAAAAAATCCGATAATAATCTTGTCAAAAGTATGAAAACGAAATATCTTTAATTTGTGTTTTTATATTCAAAAATGCGCTTCTTTTGTAAGCAACACCTGTGCAGTTTGTTGCCTCTCTATTCTCTCTCTCTAGCAAGTTATCTATGTTTTTTTTCGCCATTGTTTTGTTTTAGCATTCGCGGCATATTAATTTGTTTCTCGCTCTCAGTGCTCTTTGTGGTCCGCTCTCTTTTGTTTTATTTCGGTCGCCGTTCGTTATCAAAAGGGAAACAACAAAAGGCAAAAACGACAAACAAAGACAAACCCATAAAACGTCAAAAAAGCTTGACGCATATTTTAGGCATTTTTTTTCTCTATTTCTAACTCACAAAGCTTTTATACAGATTAATAAATTCTAAATTGATTACGAGATTTTCTAAGTATTTCTGATCGGAAATGGCAAATTAAAGTCCAATTAGGAAGGTCTAAATATAAAATAATGGCGAAAAAATGTTTCGATAATTTGTGTTTTATATTTTTCTTATCTTTTTCAGTTGACCTAGTTGATTGAAATCGTAAAAAAGTATATGTACATGCATACTTCTAGATTTTGCCATTTTACATCTTCGATAACATTTTCCTTTTGTTTGTTCGCGATTATCTCGTTCTCACTTTTGCCTCGTCTTCTTCGTCTTTTAGTGTCTCTGTTTTGCTCTTTTTTCTGATTGTGCGACAACTGCTTAACAATTTACAATTATGTATGTATGTATGTATAAGTATGTGTTAATATACAGTAAACATACATATTTTTGATTAAATATCAGAAGTTAAAAAAAAACTAAGATATTTTGGATCATTATTTATTTTTTAGTCACCAATGATCAGCAGGATTATAAGACATATAAATATTAAAAAATATTTTTAAAAAAAGGTTTTAGTAAACGAAAAATAAGTAAATAAGTAAAATATTAAATTGGTTTCAATTCGAAGAGATTCCACTGTAGTTGTATGTGCACTCTGACGATTATATAGGCGTATGTGTGTATTTGTTGATTGACTCAACTTGACGACGACGACGACGACACACGCGCGCCCAATTCACAAAACTTTTGTTTTATACACCGTATCTTTTATTTTTTTCTTATTATTTTTTTTAGTTGTTTGTTATGCTGCGCGATTACGTCAGCTGACATTTGGTTTGTATTTTTCGGGGACCTGGGAAAGCATATGTACATATGTCCACATATACACACTCTCTAACTATCTCACATGTATGCAAAAAAAAACAAAAAAAAATAAGAAAAATAGGTAGAGGTGTATAGAAAAAGTTAATCATTGGCACTGGCACATTTGTGTTGTTGGCTTGTTTCGGGGGAAAGTTGCACAAATCAAATGGAGGAAAAATCAGCGACGAATCGCAAAAAAAGTGCAACTCTCAAACTCAACTCATCCATTAAAAACTAAGGAAAAATCGACGGAAAAAAAACCAAAGAAAAAAAAAAAGAAAACGAAAAACCAGTGAAAACTGCTGGCCAGAGAGTTAATTATTTTTCATGTTCATTGCTGAAAACCGAATACCGAAATATGCAAAAGTGAGTATATAGCCTATAGCATACATATGTATATCACGTCATTCCCATATGCCAATGACTCTTGTTGTGTATGGGCACGTAATTTTATTTTCGTCTTGAATTTCATTTCATTTCATTGTGCTTAATTGATTTTGCCTCATTTGCATACAGCTTTGTTTAAAATTATAGTAGGGTCGTGGAATTATAAAATAAATCTTAAATACATTTAAAAGGGTTTTCGTCTTTCAACTATATGTTTTAAATTTATTTATTGCCAAAACAGTAGGTAATCGTTATGCTATTTCTAGTTTTCAACAACAAATTACAATTTTTTGCACAATATATAAAAAATGATTAATATAAGAAATTTCGAGCTATAATTATATCTATTTCATTTATATACATTTTTATATACAGTTATTAAGCAAAAAACGACCATGTTTAGTTGGTCTTGTCTGTGGCTATAATTATAATTAAACAGCACTTGAACAAATTAATACGAGGTCATCGGGTTTTACTTGTTGTGGTTGCTTTTGGATTACAAAATTTTAAAGGTGTTACCATTTGCATCTTAATGTTGGTCGGTTGTGCGTTGCAAAAAAAACATACAAAAAAATAATAAAAGTAATAAATAAAAGCGACTGAAATTAAAATAAAATGTAAGACTATAAGGAATTAATAAAACATTAAAACAAACTTAAAGAATGAACTCATTTTAGAAAGCAATTAAATGCGTTGAACCACAGAATTTAGTGGAAATTGGAAAAGCAATATTTGTTAAGCAGGTGAACAAATTGGGTGAAACAAGGAAATGTATAAGAAATCAATAAGAAACGGAAAAAATAAAATAAAACAAAATAAAACTCAACAAAAAGTTGAAAATGAATAGTAGAAAAAGATGTAAAAGCAATGCATTGAACAAATGTGCAAGCTTTCTAACGCCGCAGTCGGCTTCGCAGTCTCCGTGGGCAGCGCAGTCGGCGGCCGTGCCAACAAGAACAATTGCGAAGCATCGCGAAGCGGCGAGAGAGGAGTGCAGAGCGGGAGAGCAGCGAGAGCAGAGAGCGAGCAGAGAGCGGGCGAGAGCAGCGGCATTTCGAGTGCAGACGGCGGTGGTGTCGGTGTCGTTTTGGTTTTGTCGGCTAAACACAATTTAAGTTCACTCGGTTAGCAGACATTACACATACACACACATATGTCTGTATGCAAGAAACCAGAAAAAAGGGAAAAATACAACGTTCGTTGAGTCGCGTTCTGTTTTTTTTTTTGTGCGTGGCTTGTGCTCGTGTGTGTGTGCTTCGGTTTTGCCAATTTTAGCCAACTTTAGCTCTCAGTGTCGAACTTAAACTTAAAGAGCGAGCAACGTGACGTGTCGCTAAAAAAAATTCGCGCACACAACTTCCTACTTCATCAAAAAAAAAACCAATGAAATAAACAAAAAGAAACGTCTAAAAAAAGCGAGACTTGTTTTTTTTTTTATTGTGCATCTGTGTGTTTGTGATTGTAACAAAGAGTATCAAGGAAAGAGAGAAGAAGCAAAAAACAAAGAGAGAGAGAGCAAGAGCAGCTGATTTTAGCCGGCAAGTGTCAGCTGTTTCGTGACAGAACGAGATAGCGCTAGATTTTTGGACAGGGCGAACATGTTATGTCTTGCACGCCTTCTCCTCCTTGTGCTGCATTCGCTTTAGCAATGCAACAACAACAGCAGCAGCAACAACTTAAAATACAAGAAATACAACAGCAAAGACAACATTTGCAAATTCAACAAATACAACAGCAAAGGGGAAAGAAGGAGGAACTAAGGCAAATCCAAGAAATACCGCAATTAATACCACATCAAATACAGAAAATACCGCAACTACAACAAATTCAAATACATAAAATACCGCATCTAACAATTCAAACACAGAAAATACCACAATCACAGCATAATGGTAGTAATGTAAAACAAAAAGCTTATCAAATTCCGGAAGTACACAAGTTACAAATAATACCAGAAAATCGGGCACATGAAACACAAACGATACCGCAACAACATAGGCCTATATTTGATTCTCATCAAATTAATGAATTACCGCACACACAAACTATTCAAATAACTTTGCAAAGTCGGCAAAATATACCAGAATTACAACAGATAAAACAGTTACAGTTTCAACAAATACAACGATTACCGATTGTACCAGAAATACAGCAATTTCAGACAGCGCAGCAAAATCAAACGATTCAAATAGGTGCCACAAGAATAACATATAACAGCAATAGTAACAGCAACAACAGTAGCAGCAATAGCAACAACAACTACTGTAACATTAACAACAACAATAACAATAGCAGCAACAGTAACAGCGGCAACAACATAATGTTAGCCTCCGCCAGCGCCTCTGCCGCCGCAAGAAAACGCAGCCGCAGCGCGAGTAATGGCAGCAAAAGCAACAACAAAACGGCCAGTGGCCGCAAATTAACAAAAAGCGTGAGTGTTTGTTGTTTTTCTTCTTTTTTTTTTTCTTCTCTCCCTCTCTCTCTTTTTCTCTGTTTACATTAAGCGGTTTCTCGCCCGTGCACGTGCTATTCGTGAGTGAGCGAGATATAAAGAGAGGTTAGAGCGTACACAAGCGAATAACAGCGCTTTGTGCTGAGCGCCCAGCCTGCGTCGACTACGCTGCCTGCGTTAACAGCGACGTTCGCAAAATTGGGCCACATCAAAAACCTAAAACAGCGAAAACTAAACTATGTTAATGCTAACCCGATGGGAATAGAATAGAAACACCGATAAAAAGTTAAAGAATTAGGAACAATTTAAACTGCATTCCATAAATAAAAAAACATTCCATAAATATAAAACATAAAAAACACCTAAACCCACTTTGAAGCACGGCGGGTGAAGTGTTATGATTTGGGGCTGGATTTCCACAAAAGGAGTGGGAAATCTCGTATTTATCGATGGCATAATTAATAAACCAATGTTAGTTTTAAACTCTTAATACGCGTTTGAAGTTGAAAAAAAAAAACCGAATATTAGTGTGATCCCACTATATACATATATACTTATTATTACTAGATGGAAGCCACAACTGATAAGAACAAATAACACAAATGTGTGGTCACAAAATTAAACTGATAACCAAACAAATAACTAAGGTACACAGGAAATAAAAACATTTATTTTATAGAAAACAAATAGCTAGAGGTTCTTTAAAATAACTGACTACAAATTAAAATAAATTTTTTAATTAATTTGGTATTATTGAAGTAACTTAAAATTTACTACGATTAATAATACATAATAATTTTAATTTGTGCTTTGAATGCAAATCTCAAAAACGAAAAAAGAAGAAACATAAATAAACTGCTATAAACACCTCACTAATTATTAGATTAATTCTGATTTTAATCAAAGTTTATACAAAACAAAAAAATAAAAATGTCGCATACCTTGCCTTTTGAAATGGGTTAATCAAGTGCTTTGTATGGTAGCGCTAAATTTATTTCCCCCTATTTAGAAATGTTTATATTTAAATTGCTAACAATATTCAGTAGCCGGAATTTAAAGCCACAACAGCGAACATTTTATTCATTCATTTTTGTAGCAGATGTTGCGCTCTTTTCCTAGCTCTCTCTCTCTCTCCCCATTTTTACTCTCTCGTGCAACTTCGTTTCCTCTTCGGCTTGTCATTCGTGTCTAAAAATAAAACAGCATGTGCGATTGCATGTGTGTGTGTGTGCACACGCTCTCGCTATTTGTTGTTGTTGTACATTTTTTGTCTGTGGGCAAAAGGCAATGAAAACGAAAATTTGCGTGACGTCTCTCGACCTTGACTCATCGACGATTTCCTAACAGAGCTGTTAAACTGTTAAAACGCCAGCAGAGGCGACAAAGCAGAGCGAGGACAGCGATGCCGGCGGCGCAGTCGAGCCGAGTTGCGGCTCGATGTGTTTTTACCGTGTTTTTTTCTGTGCTTTGATTTCAATTGTATTTGCTTTTGTGTTTGCGTTTTAGTTTTCATTTCTTTTTTATCATTTCATTATACTTTTTATGTAGATTTTCTTGGGATATTAATAAAACGTTTTGTGCTTCATTTCCAATATTTGCAGTTTCTTCTGCCTTTTCTTTGGTTTTTCTTAATTTTTCTTTGGTTTGAAGTCAACGTCTCTTTGGGACATCAGACCAAACCAGTTTAAAAAAAAAACACATTTACTGGCTTACTAAAATAAACCAACACTGTCTTATCAACAAAAAAAAAAATGGTTCGATTTGCTTATGTTTTGTTGAACTGCAACTGGACAGTGAAGCTTCATTAACTTTTTACAATGCTAAGGAACAAATAATAAACTATGCATTCATCCTACTAAATAGAAGTACATATGTATTCTATACTCACTTTTAGTTATTTTTAATGAAGGGGAAACTACAGCTAAATGCACATATTTTATTGTTATAAGATGCTTACTGAACTTTTTGCATTTGAAAGAACTTCTTCAAAAATATAGAATATTGTAAAACACCAATTATAATTATCGAAAATTTTTTGTTTATGAAACTCGTATTATAAATTATAGAACAAAACTAGAAAAGGGCGTGCAACTATAGGAATGTGTCTCCACATCATCTCTCCCATCGTGGTTTTATCCGTCTCTTTCTCTCGTTTTGAGATTTTCTCTCAATAAGAAATGCATATGCGTAATGCATGTGAGTTCCGTTGGTTTTTGTGCCACACCCACACAACGCCCACCCACCCACTTGCGTTTCTCTTCCGCTCTTTTGCTTCCTTCTTCCCTTTCCCTTTGTCATCCTTCCAGACCCCTATTCATCTATCCCCTATTTTATGCTGTGCACAGAGAAAAATGTGAATGGCAAAATTAAGAAATTTATGATTTGACAAATTTGTATTTTTCATTATAATTTCCTTTAACAGTACTGAATAATAATTCATTTAATATAATTTCAAATGATATAATTCCTAATATATTCAGTTTGAACTTAAAATCCTTTATTGAACACAAAATGTTATAAATCAAATATTTATTTGTTTTTAGATTTATTGATACCAGAATATGATTTTACAGTTCCCTTTTTTTGCGGTGTGCCATTCCATTCCAACTTGGTCCGTATTTCCATTCCACATTTGCTCCTCTGCTCTTTTCGCATGCACCTCTCTTCCTCTCCCTTTCGCACTGCAGCACGGAGCATAATCATCATCATAGATTTATCTCATTCACGCGCACGTGAGGCAAAGGCAAGCCCCAAAAATTAAGTCGTCGTCGCTTGTCGCTTTGCTTTGCGCTTCTCCTTTTTGCCCCTTCCTCACTCTGCTCCTCCGTTGCCACTCTTCTCTTCCCCCATTCATCTCCTTCTCTCCATCCCCTTGTTATCATCAGTTCATTTCATTGTCTGGCCTTTCGTTCGACTCGTTTTTTCTCCCTCTTAGTCCCTCCTTCGTCCCCTTCCTTCGCTCGTCTTTCTCAGTTTCTCGGTGTTGCCAATTTCGTGTTTCGCTGGCCGTTACAATTTTCATGCTTTGGCCATGTTTGACAAGACTTTTTTTTCCAGCTTTTTCTCTATGCTTATGTTTCGTTCTCCTTCTCTTTTCCCCCTTCGCCTTACCCTTACCTTATGCAGCAGGAATAAACGGCAATCATGCGACAGCTGTTGTCTAAACAAAATGAAGAAAATAATGAAGGAAGGAACTAGATGAAAATTAAAGCGTAGAAGGAAACATGAATATCTTTACACAACCGTATAATGTAATAATGTAATATAATGTAACTCCAAAATTGTACATAACTTATACAATCAGGGTTGACCTACAGAAGAATATTCACGAATTTTGCTCTTATAGTTATCACAATCTGGAATTTTAGAATATTAAACACAGAAAATAGCCAAAAATATTCAAGATTATAAAGTAAAAAACATTTGATAAAAAAAATGATAAGGAAACTAGCAGTACTCTGTAAATTATGCATACACATACAAACATCCTAAATGTACTGGAAAACCACTTACTTGAAGTAGAAATTATGTTCATTCTAATCTGTAAATTGTTTATTAAAAAAAGACCTGATGTAAGTTTGCAAAACACTTTTTAAAATCTTGTTTTGTCACATAAAAAGTACTTAAATTATTCTGAATTATTGGATCGGCAACAAAATGTTCATTCTGATAACGCCCAATTGTGAAATTCATAAACGGCCCATGGTAAACAACATCTGGTTATTTCCGAAACTAAAAACTTTTACCGAATATAAAATGTATTTCTTGGTCTTGTAGTTCCCATTCCCAGAAGCACAGTCAGTATCCTATTTCTGTCCCGATAAATTGTGTGTTTGCACTACGAAATGTACGCATTTTTTAGGGGTATCAAAATACACAAATATTTATGCTCTACGAATCGAACAAAAGCACACAGACAGCGTTCTATTTATTTATTTATTCTCCGTCTTCCTTTTAGCCCCCTCAAAATATATTCCTATTCTGTACTTTGTAATATTCTGCTAACCGATTAACTGCCCATTGGAACGCATTGCACTACTTTTTTTCCCCCATTCCACTCTTAATTAATTCCTTATGATATTTTGTGTTTCCCTATAGAGTTGAATACTTGGCTTTTTTATAGCTCTTGTTGAAAGAAAGAACTATATAACAATTTGAAAGCTTACATTTTTAAATAAAAAGTAAAAAGTTTATATATTTATACGAATACAATAACGTTGAAAAGTGTGTAACACGTATATGGAAGCGTTTCCGACCCAATAATGTAAACATATTCTTGATCACTAATTGGCCTTGTTACTCTGTTTATACGGTCATTACTTATCGACTTGTACAAAAATATTCCAATTCTGACCATTATTTTAGCATAAAAGTACATTTTCCGGCAGATGGCGCCACACACAACTCGATTATTATCTGGGAGCATACATATTTATTTTGACTCATTGTGTTGTATAGCCAAACCCTGACCTATAGTTTACCAGACAAAAATTGTAGTCACAGATACAGATTAAATGAGAAGTTATAAAGAATTAGCATGCGGTAATAACGTTTTGATGTTGAATGTGCCTTTAACACTGTCTTTGTGTACACTCAAAGTTTAATTTTTTGTTAATTAAATCTAGATTGTTTTTTTTATAGCTATATTTTATTTTATGGGCGAGGCAGCACTGTTGCTGATGTATGTGCATGTGTGGTATGGTGGCAATGGCGCCCTCTGCCGGCGTCGTCGCTCGCGAATTAACAAAGACGCCGGCTGTCTCTCTCTCTGTCTCCTCTCTTTCCACTCTCCCCCTCTCCCTCCTGCTCCCACAAAACAGCAGCTGCTATGCTATCCGTTCCGTTTTGGATTGGAAGTTCAGTTCGGTGGAATGGAATGGAAGGCAGCAGTAGCGAAAGAAGAAGAAGCTGCAACGCCGCGACGCTCGTTTTGTAGTTGTAGTTGTAGTTTGGCGGCGTGTGTAGTTTGCTATCGCTGTTGTTTTTAAACGAACGCGCGCTCGGAAGTTGCGCACAAAAATCTATATAAACCAAAAAGAAAACACAAAAGCGCGAAAAAAATAAAACACTAAATAAAGTAAAAGAGGAAGAAGCAATCGGATTAATTTTAGTGTACTTCTGCCCGTTTTTGGTTTCGGTCTTATTTTTTTTTCGTTTTTGCAAATGAACGATTAGTTGAACTCGCTCTCGCCGCTCTCTCGCTCTCGCCGCTCTTCTTCTTGTTGGCTTTTGCTAACTCTCTTGTGTGTGTTTGCACCTTCTTCTTCTTTCTTTCGCTCTGCTCGTTACCATTTTACAAACACACACGCGCACGATGAGAGCGACTGCAAAAAAATCGGAATAAACACGGTTTATAATATATATACGGTATATATATACAGGAAAGCATTTAGACAAATGTGTAAAATTAGTGCAAACTAAACGAAAGAGCAAAAATAAAGAAAACCAAATGTGATAATATTGTAATAGAATGTGAAAATCCAAACACAAACACATACACATACCCACGCACCCGCAGCCACGTATGTGTGTGCAGAAAAATATGCGGCGCTTAAAAAAGGTGAACGGCATTTTGTGACCATAAAAATTGAAAATTTTCAACAAAATAAATATAATGAAAAGTAAAATAAAAGTTTTCAAGTAAAATTTGTGCACATAAAAAAAAACAAAAAAAAAAGTTGAAAAAATAAGTAGTTAAAGAGTAGCCATTTTCATTTCTAGTTAAATTTTTCAACATTTTCCTTTTCATTGTCTACGCTTTGCTTTTTGATAAAACATTACACACATTCATACATACACACATGCCACTGCATTCTCGCTCTCTGTCGCTGTTGCTGTCTCCCTTGCACTCTTACACTCTCTCGCAAACGCATGCCGCTTTCTCGTTTGGTCCCACTCGCACTCGTTCTCGCATATTTTGCACAATCTTCTTTGTCGTCTCTTTTGTTGCCACCGCCCCCGGGGTTGCCACCTAGTCGTAGTGGTCGCAAATGCCGCGCATGTGGCAGCACTCTCTCGGCCAAGCGAAAGAGAAGCGCAAAAACAAATGCGAAAAGAAAGAAGCAGCGGAGCAAAACAAAAGCGGCATCAGTGTTGCAAAGTGCACAAAGCGGTCAGAGAGGGAGAAAGAGAGAGAGAGATAGAGAAAAGGCTAAGCTAAAACAAATATCCATTAAAGGTGAAAAATAAACAATTGGAAAAAAAAATTGTTCAGCAATTATCTAAAAATCTTAATTGGCGGCAACGTTTTCTAAAACAATACAAAATTAATTTCTTGAAATGCATCATATATATTATAATTTCCCAAATGAAAACTGAAATACCTTAACACATATATGTGGTGAAACATTAGGTTATAAAAATTGTTCCTCCATAACATATGATTAAAAAAATTATTTAATTTAAAAAAAGGGTATAAGTTTGAATAAGTTTCAACAATCTACAAAACTAAGCGTATACAAAAAGGATCAATAACAATCTAAAATCATTTAAAAAATCTGGGTGTAGAACTTTAAGGTCATATAACCTTTTTCTTTTGTTTCATTTGAAATGAGTGAGAATAATTATAGATACTACTATATGCAATGTATTCATTAATAGTAAATTGCCGTTGATTTTAACTAATTTTTGTTATCATTTAATTCCACTTGCAGATGTCCGCCGGCGCTCAGTTGCAGATGGCCCCGCAAACCACTTCGGCCCTAAGTCACCACCATCCCAATCAGCAGCAGCAGTTGCAACCGCCGCAGCAGCAGCAGCCGCAGCAGCCCCCGCCCCCGCAACAGCAGCAGCAGCAGCAGCATTTTGCCAACCATCACAGCAACCAACAACAGTCGCAACAGCAGCAGCAGCAGCAGCAGCAGGAGCAACAGAATCCGCAGCAGGCGCCACAGCAGCAGCAGCAGCAGCAGATACTTCCGCAACAGCATCTGCAGCACCTGCACAAGCATCCGCATCAGCTGCAACAGCAACTGCATCAGCAGCAGCAGCTCCACCAGCAGCAGCACTTCCACCAGCAGCAGCAACAGTCGCTGCAGGGGCTGCATCAGGGTAGCAGCAATCCGGACTCTAATATGAGCACTGGCTCCTCGCACAGCGAGAAGGATGTCAATGATATGCTGAGTGGCGGTGTAGCAACGCCCGGCGGAGCAGCTGCAGCAGCAGCAGCAGCCGCCGCAGCAGCAGCCATCCAACAGCAACAGCAACAGCAGCAGCAACAGCAACATCCCGCCTTTCCGCCCGCCCTGGGAATGCAACAGCCTCCGCCGCCGCCGCCACAGCACTCCAATAACGGAGGTGAGATGGCCTATTTGACGGCCGCAACGACCACGACGACATCGGTGGTGCCGGCGGCGGTGGGGGCCAAACCCCGAACGCCAGCGGAGCGGAAACGGAAGCGGAAAATGCCGCACACCAGTGCGGACGAGGCGGGGAGTGGCGGTGGTTCCGGCGGAGCAGGAGCCACAGTGGTGAACAACAGCAGCCTGAAGGGCAAATCCCTGGCCTTTCGTGATATGCCCAAGGTGAACATGAGCCTGAATATGGGCGATCGCCTGGGTGGCTCGGCGGGCAGTGGCGGCGGAGCCGGTGGCGCCGGCAGTGGAGGATCCGGAGCCGGTTCCGGTTCCGGCAGTGGCGGCGGCAAGAGCGCCCGCCTCATGCTCCCCGTCAGCGACAACAAGAAGATCAACGACTACTTCAATAAGCAGCAAACGGGCGTGGGCGTTGGCGTCGGCGTCCCAGGCGGTGCGGGCGGAAACACTGCCGGACTCCGAGGATCGCATACGGGAGGCGGCAGCAAGTCACCCTCATCCGCCCAGCAACAGCAGCAGCAGCAGCAACAGACGGCGCAGCAGACGAGCGGTGTTGTTGCGACGGGCGGCAATGCAGGAGGAGTTGCCGCTGGCAATCAGGTGCAAGTGCAGACGAGCAGCGCCTACGCCTTGTATCCACCAGCTAGTCCCCAAACGCAGACGCCGCAGCAACAGCAGCAGCCACCGGGAGCCGCCGACTTTCACTATGTCAACTCCAGCAAGGCGCAACAGCAGCAGCAGCAGCAGCGCCAGCAGCAGCAACAGACTTCCAATCAAATGGTTCCTCCACACGTGGTCGTCGGCCTGGGTGGTCATCCACTCAGTCTAGCCTCCATCCAGCAGCAGCAGCAGCAACAGACGCCCCTCTCCCAGCAGCAACAGCAGCAGCAGCAGCAACAACAGCAGCAACAGCAGCAGCAGCAGCAGCAGCAGCAGCAACTGGGACCACCGACCACATCGACGGCATCCGTTGTGCCCGCGCATCCGCATCAGCTCGGCTCCCTGGGAGTGGTGGGCATGGTCGGTGTGGGCGTAGGCGTGAGTGTGAATGTGGGCGTGGGGCCACCACTGCCACCGCCACCGCCAATGGCCATGCCAACGGCGATCATACAATCATACAGCAAGGCCACGCAGACGGAGGTGTCGCTGCACGAGCTGCAGGAGCGCGAGGCGGAACACGAGTCGGGCAAGGTGAAGCTGGACGAGATGACGCGCCTGTCGGACGAGCAAAAGTGCCAGATTGTCGGCAACCAGAAGACGATCGACCAGCACAAGTCGCACATTGCCAAGTGCATCGATGTGGTCAAGAAGCTGCTCAAGGAGAAGAGCAGCATTGAGAAGAAGGAGGCGCGACAGAAGTGCATGCAGAATCGCCTCAGACTCGGCCAGTTTGTCACCCAGCGCGTGGGCGCCACATTCCAGGTGAGACTGTCGACTGGCTGGTTCTTCTCCCCTCCCCCCACCCCCCAAATCAATGCACACTTGTTAACCCACCCTCTCTGTTTTTTTTCTTAACTATCTACAGGAGAACTGGACGGACGGTTATGCGTTCCAGGAGCTAAGTCGGCGGCAGGAGGAAATCACTGCCGAGCGCGAGGAGATCGACCGGCAGAAGAAGCAGCTGATGAAGAAGCGTCCGGCGGAGTCCGGACGCAAGCGCAACAACAACAGCAACCAGAACAACCAGCAGCAGCAGCAGCAACAGCAGCACCAGCAGCAGCAGCAGCAGCAGAATTCCAACTCGAACGATTCCTCGCAACTGACGGGCGGCGTGGTGACCGGACCGGGCAGTGATCGCCTGGGCGGCACAGCCGGCGGCGTGAGCAGCGTCGACAGCGGTCTGGGTGGCAACAATGCGGGCGCAATCGGTGGCGGTGCCGTTGGCGGCGGCGTCGGCAGCGGCAACGTTGGCGGCGGCGGCGGCGTTGGCGGCGTCGGTGGCGGCGGCGGCGGCGGAGGACGTGGTCTGTCGCGCAGCAACTCGACGCAGGCCAATCAGGCTCAATTGCTGCACAACGGCGGCGGCGGCTCGGGCGGCAATGTCGGCAATTCGGGCGGCGTCGGAGATCGCCTCTCGGATCGAGGAGGGGGTGGACTGGGCGGCAACGATAGCGGCAGCTGTTCGGACTCGGGCACGTTCCTCAAGCCGGATCCCGTTTCGGGGGCGTACACCGCGCAGGAGTACTACGAGTACGATGAGATACTCAAGCTGCGCCAGAACGCCCTCAAGAAGGAGGACGCCGACCTGCAACTGGAGATGGAGAAGCTGGAGCGGGAGCGCAATCTGCACATCCGAGAGCTCAAGCGGATACTCAACGAGGATCAGGTATATAGCCTAGCCATAGATATAGATCTTACTGATTTGTGGATTATATTGAACGTTATTATATACGTATTATTCAGTCCCGCTTCAACAACCATCCCGTGCTGAACGATCGCTATCTTCTGCTGATGCTGCTGGGCAAGGGCGGCTTCTCAGAGGTTCACAAGGCCTTCGACCTCAAGGAGCAACGCTATGTCGCATGTAAGGTGCACCAATTAAACAAGGATTGGAAGGAGGATAAGAAAGCTAATTATATCAAGTGAGTAGTAAAACAGATGAGCAGGAAAAGTCAATGATTGATTAGCATTAGCATAAGGATATAGTTGTTGTAAAGTTGATCAAGTTAGCAGCTGTTGTAAAAGTAAATGTAAAAAGCATATAGATTAAATCATGCGATTGAATATTCCCAATTTATTTGCAAGTCACGTTTATATTAATACAATTTCACTATGGATATAGTTTATAGATCGAGTTAGCATATAGATTAAATCATGGTATTGAATATTTTGCCATTCAATTGCAAGCCACGATTAAATTAAGATTAAATCAGGCTTTTGGTTTAGGGAAAAAAACAGCCTTAATGAACTTGCTTTAACTGAAACGAAACACAAAACTTAGGCCACAATCACATGGGTGGGCTTGCTCTTATTGAAAACATTTTACTAAAGTCTTCCCTCGTTTGAAAACCCCACTAATTACCCACAAACAAAAAATCAGACACGCTTTGCGGGAATACAACATTCACAAGGCGCTGGATCATCCGCGGGTCGTCAAGCTCTACGATGTCTTTGAGATCGATGCGAATTCCTTTTGCACGGTGCTCGAATACTGCGATGGCCACGATCTGGACTTCTATCTGAAGCAACATAAGACTATACCCGAGCGTGAAGCGCGCTCGATAATAATGCAGGTGAGTTATATACATACCACCCACCATACATACATACCCACCATTTTACCTTGAATATTAACGTTTTCAATTTAACCCCTTCTTTAGGTTGTATCTGCACTCAAGTATCTAAATGAGATTAAGCCTCCAGTTATCCACTACGATCTGAAGCCCGGCAACATTCTGCTCACCGAGGGCAACGTCTGCGGCGAGATCAAGATCACCGACTTCGGACTGTCGAAGGTGATGGACGACGAGAACTACAATCCCGATCACGGCATGGATCTGACCTCCCAGGGAGCGGGCACTTACTGGTGGGTTGTGGTGGTTGTTTGTCTATTTGTTTGTTTTTTACGATTTAAAATGGGACTTGGGACTTTGTAAACGACTTTTCAATTTCAATCCTGTTTTGTATTTGTATAGGTATCTGCCACCCGAGTGCTTTGTGGTGGGCAAGAATCCGCCGAAGATCTCCTCCAAAGTGGACGTGTGGAGTGTGGGCGTGATCTTCTACCAGTGTCTGTACGGCAAGAAGCCATTCGGTCACAATCAGTCGCAGGCCACCATCCTCGAGGAGAATACGATCCTGAAGGCCACCGAAGTGCAGTTCTCCAACAAGCCAACCGTTTCCAATGAGGCCAAGGTGGGTGTTGTAGTCTTCAACTGGGACAATTCATTAGTTGCCATATTAATATTTGTGTGTTTTTTGTTCCAATCGAAAACAGAGTTTCATTCGAGGCTGTTTGGCCTATCGCAAGGAGGATCGCATGGATGTGTTTGCGCTGGCCAGGCACGAGTACATTCAGCCGCCGATACCGAAGCACGGCCGTGGTTCGCTCAACCAGCAGCAGCAGGCGCAGCAGCAACAGCAGCAGCAGCAGCAACAGCAGCAGCAGCAGTCGTCAACGTCGCAGGCCAATTCCACCGGCCAGACATCGTTCTCTGCCCACATGTTTGGCAATATGAATCAGTCGAGTTCGTCCTAGCTGCCAACCAAGCGCAATTCCAATTCATAATTCGCCGCAGTAGCAGCAGCCACTCTGGCTGCCAGCCAGCAACAGCAGCAACAACTGCAACTTCAGCAATACCAGCAGCAGCAGCAGCATCAGCAACTCCATTTACAAAACAGTAGCAGCAACTATGCGGCTACGCTACTCGATGCAGCGGCCTTTTGCTACGAGACCGTAATGGATGCAGCCCACTTCCACAACAACAACAACAACAACAACAATAGCACCATTATCAACAACAATATGCAGACAATGCCGGCAAACGCTGCTAGTGCTGCTGCAAATGCTGCTGTAGCTGCAGGAGGAGGAGGAGGAGGGGGAGGAGGATCTGGGGGAACACCAACCTATCAGGGGAAATACAAGCGCTGGCAGCAGCAACAGTTGCAACAGCAGGCGCAACTGCAACAGCAGCAACACAAGTTGCTGTTGCAACAAGAGCTGCTGTAGAACAAGCATATATGGGTGATTGATGATTGATTGATTGATGGATTGATGATGTTTCGTTGACAGTGGATGATAGATGATAGATGATGACAAAGGGAGTTTGAGAAGAATAAGGGGAGAATGAGCTGCCTGCAACACTGCCGCCAAGCCAAGCTAAGCTAATGTTGCTGCTGCAACAGCAACAACACCATCTACAACAACACCACCCCAAGAATTTCCACAGCGAGTCGCAAACAAACAACAACAAAAACTTAAATTAAAGAAACTATATATAAATATATATATGCATATATATATTAAATGTGATAAACAAGCGTAAAGCAAAAAAAAAAAAAAAAAAAAAAAACAAAAAACAAAAAAAAATGAAAAGAACATGAGGAAAGCAAGCAAGCAGCAAAAACAGCAGGAGAAAGACGAACAACCGAGGGGATAACCCCGGAGGATAGGGAAAAAGCACAGCTGCAGTTAAAGAAACCGGAAGAGGAGAGCGAGGAAAAATTTGAAAGCAGAAGAAAAGCAGAGACAGAGACGGTTTGTGGAAGCTGAGAGAAGAATCGCCGATAAGAGGAGAAAGCTTGAGAAATTGTTTATAAAGGCTGCTATAAACACACACACTTTTTTTTTGTTAACTATAAATACCAAGCAGAATAATTAATATAAAATAATTAATAATTAATTGCTAAATGTAAATTAGTAAGTAGGGTGGCATCTAAAACAACAAAACAAAAACGCAAAAAAAAGAATGATTCCCAAGAACAACAACGCGTGTGAGAGAAGGCAGATAATATTTTTTCTCTGTATTAATAATAAAAATGGTTAACGTAAAGACATCATAGCAAATTAGCGTAGGCTAAAAAAGCACACAGTATAGAGAACTGAAATGAAAAAAAAAATACAAAAAAGCAGGAACACAGCAAGGATCATAAAGTCGCAGAAAAAAGAACACCTTTGCAATGGGAAAACACGAACTAATGCGTTGGTTTTTTTTGTTCGATTATTTAATTGGGTTTTGTTTGTTTGTAGTTCAAACATTAATACATTAACACTCACTTATTCTCATGCACACACAGCACAACACAACATAACACAGATACACACACAATACACTGCAGACTGCTTTTGCCTTACAAGAAAGAATGAAAAACACTAATTTTAATTGCCGATTTCCATTTTGTATTTTAATGCATATTTAATATTATGCATTCACATATATATACATAAATCATACTCTACCCAGGAACGTTTCTATTTTAATATAATGCACAACATACATTTAATTTTAAAGCTTTTAAACGAAGATAAAACCAACATATAATTTACTTTAATATGGAAATTGAAAGGAAAGTGTTCTTTGTTTGTTTTGTATCAAAATCCAAAAGAAATTTGATTTAAAAATAAAAACAATTTCATAAAAACACACCCCACACGCACACACACACATATACATTTGTATATACTCGTATCTGAACAACAAACAAAAAACCGAGGCGAAAAAAACTAAGAACTTGTTTAAATCGAATGCAATTCCAAAATATCCAACAGAAAAAAGAATCAGATAACCAATTTTTTTTAATATGCCACAAAGAAAGTGTTAATGAAAATAAGGAAAAGTGAGGAAATCCGAAAGAAGGGAATGCTCGAGATGATCGGACTCTCAGATCGGATAAAAAAAAAATTAAAAAATAAACCCATTTGAAGTAATCTACTTCTAATTACATAATAATCTAATGTAATAGTTTTTATTAAAATTATATAGATATATATATATATGTACCGATATACATATATATATACATGTTTTTTTTTTTTAATTTTAAACTATATTTGTAATGCACTATGCGTAACATTGTATTAAATATTAATATCCAAGGCATATTAATAGAAATATATATATATAAAAACTATATAAAAACTGAAAAAAAAACTGAAATACCAAGCTAAATGTTTCAATAATATACAGATCTATATGTATGCAAAGCCGATATAAAATCTGCCTAAAGCCAGAAAAAAAAACTAGAAGAGAAAACAGAAAGATCCGAAGAATAAAAGAGATGGATGAGCGGGAGAGGAGAATGCAAGATTCATCCTCAAGCGAAAACTTTTTTTCTTTAGTCTATACGAAACGAAAAGCATAAAAAATAAACCGAAATTAGTTCTTATAGTGAAAATGAAAGAGAAATGGCAAAAGCGCGCGCGAAAGAGAAGGCAAATGGGCACTGGAAAAGGACGGCAAGCAGAACAAGTTAAAGAAAAAAGCAGCAGCAACAACAACAACCCCCTAAAAAATAGCAAAGAAAATTGTAAATATTTATATAAATAATTTATGCATAATTTAAATAAAAAATTAATGAGGAAAATCCGTAAAAGAAAAAAAAAACGAAACAAAAGAAACATAAAAACCAGAAGAACCATTTCAGATTTGTATGCAAATTTGTATATGTACGTACTTTCCTTTAATTTTAGCCAATCAGTTTGTAAGAATTTTTTTTTTTGCATCTCTATAAAGAATTACGATATGAGGATAATGATTCCGACTTTTTTTTTCCGTTTAATGTAAACCATTAGGATAAGTCCATAATTGATGGTCGATATATAAATTGTGTGTGTATATCGGATGGAGCGTGTGTTGATTTAATTTGATAAAAGAAAATTAAGATGAAGGTAAAGATAAAGATAAAGAAGAAACGTGGAGTATGAGAGCGAATCTATCTATAATATAATTATGTAAAATGCACATCTTTAAATTATAAATTATACATATTTAAAACAAAACTATTATTATTATTATTATTATGAATTACCATTATCATTATTTTTTATTACCACTTAACGGTTTCGTTTCGATCCACAGCGAAACCAACAACAACCAAGAAACAGAAACAACAACAAGAAGAGAAACAAAATAAACAAGCGAAATGTTTGATAAAAAAACCCACAATAGATGTTTTTATTTATTTGTGTCTTTGATTCGATTTTATTGAGTTATTCATAAAGGAATGTTGCCACACACACACACACACGCAAGCGTATAAAGCTAAACAAATTAAATACCTATTAAGTGTTTAAATAGTACTAAACGAATCAAAATATAAATACATAAAAAAAAACAAAAAATTAAAAAAAAAAAACCAAAACCAAAACCAGACGCAAACGAAGCAGCATGAAAAACGGTGGAAAAGCGATTAAATTATTTGTTGAGTATTTTATTAAAGTAATAATTACGATAATAATTATAAAATTTAAATTGAACGAAATGCGAAAACAGAAAAAAAAAACAAAACTGAATATACATATATATATATATTATATATAACAAATTATTTAATAGTTATGCTAAAAAATTATTTAAAGTGAAGGATATAAAAAATATTTGCATGCGAGCGAGCAAGAGGAAAAAGGCATTCAGAAGAGGCCAACGCCAACGCCACCGTCACCGCCCCCTCACCGAAAACCTCCCAAAAACCCCACCCCCAATTTTCCCAATTCCACCCCTTGACCCTTGACCCTTGAACCAACCACCCACCCACCACCCCCAAAAGAAAATGCGGAGAAAGCTAAGAAAATGAAGCGATGCCGCAAAACGCGGGGGCGGCTAACTGAGTAGAAGAAGAAAGCGTGAAGAAGATACTAAATCAATAAGTAAACATAAAGATTAATTAATACATTAATTCCAGAACAAAAACGAAAAAAGCTAAAAAAAACTAAACAAAACAAAAGACAAAAAGAAGACGAAAAAGAAAAAAAACAAGACGAAGCATTGAAAATAAAAAAATACTAAAATGATTAAAACAAAACGGCTTTTAATGGCAAACGGGGTATACGATTTTTCAAAAAGTTTGTCCTTATAATTTAAATTATATTGAGAATTGGAAAGACCAAATATTTTAGTGGTTTTTAAGCTTTAAATTAATAGGAATCTCTTAAAATAATAGTTCATAATTTAATGAATAGTTTTTTGCCGGTGGTAAAAAAAAAACATTCAGCTATTTTTAACCGAGTTTTAATATTACTAATATTGGTGACCTCGAACTTGTTGATTTTTAATCCAATTATATTTGACAATTTACAGTAGGCTGCTATTTGAAATGCAATTTGTTTATTTCTTACTTTCGTATTATTAATATACATATAACAAAAATCAATATTAAAAATAATATTTTTTGGTTCTGTAGCACACTTCTCGAAATGGTTTATGTCTTCTCTATGCATTGGTACTGGCATTGGCTAAACTCCAGTGTTGGCGATGATGACATTTTGGTGTATTTTCTTTGTTCCTTGTTCAAGGTCACACTGGGTTAGCAGCGTTGCCAGATCGAAAGCCAATCAATAGGGCAAAAGCAAAAGGAAAAGCAAATACATCAGACCAGAAAAAAGAAAATAGCAATTTATAGTGAGTTATAATGGCAGCGCCGATGCAACACGAGGATCTGTTGAAGCTGAAGAGCTTCATCGAGTTTGTGGACTCGAATCCCACAGTCCTGAACATGCCGCAGCTGCAGTTCGTGAAGGATTTTGTGGAGAAGTTCGGGGGCACGGTGCCGGCTGGCGATTTCAAGATGCCCGACGCCTCCGCCGGAGGGTAAGTTTGCCCCCATACATACATATATACTATATTTACCCCATTTGCTTTACTTTAATAACGCTTTAATTGTATTTTGTTATGCCCTTTCCCCTGGTTGTTTGTGCCTCAGAAAGTGCCCATTTGGTGGCGATGCTGGTGCAAAGGCCAAGAAGCCGGCTTCTGGAAACGCCGATCCAGCCGACAGCAAGTCGCCTGAGGACAGCGAGGACGAAGAGTCCCTTTCCGAACCCGAATCGGACGTGGAACTGGACATGGAGGGTAAGTGCAAATCGGGGGGGGGGAAGGGGGCCCAAAACGAAAACTTGCCAAGTCACGTGGTCATCAAGGGGTCACCACCCTGCGGTGCAAAGGGTACTGTTATTCTGCCGATTAGTTGGCAACCCTGCCAACCCATGGGTTCCCTATATGATCCGTAATTAAGCTTCAAGAGATTTGAAAACACATTTGACACATTATTCATGGGTTGCCTATGTATATATATAACATTTAAAAAAATTAAATGGGTTTCTTAAATTTTAACAATTTATAATATTACAATTTGAAGCAAGGTTCAAAACGAGAGTTTGACGAATAACTTTACTTTAAAATAAGTTACAAGCAACTTTGAGTTTATATTTATATTAAACTTATTGAATAAGAATACAAGGAGTTTTCAAGGGACACAGTCAAAAGTAATGTGTGCTTACAATTGGTATTACAAAATAAAATAAATAATAAATAAATGAATAGTGAGGCAATTCATTATTAATGCCATTCGCCTATGGAACAATCTACGCGCGTCTTTGTTTATTTCTAAAATCAAAGATATTTTGCAGGCTGAAAGGCAGTTGCAACTTAACTTATATTATTTTATTCTAAATCAAAAAAATAATTTTTCTTCTAATCTCAAAAATGACTCTGTAATTGTAATGCTTTATTTTGTTAATATTTATTCAAATATAAGTCTCTACTTGTAGTGATACAAAGTAAATGAAATGAAATGAAATGAAATGAAAACAAGATACTTAACAACAATCCCTTTGCCCCCCAAAAAGGTGTTATCGAGGCGGACAGCGATCCCGCCCAGCCGATGGGCGACTCGGCCAAGGAGCCCACCGAGGAGGAGGTGGACCAGGCCGGCGATCTGCGCGCCCAGGCCGCTTCTGCCTACGGCCAGCAGAAGTTCGACGAGGCCATCGCCTTCTACACGAAGGCCATCGAGCTGAATCCGGGCAACGCGCTCTTCCACGCCAAACGCGGCCAGGCCTTCCTCAAGCTGAAGAAGCCGAATGCCTGCATCCGCGACTGCGACAAGGCCCTGGAGCTGAACTGCGACTCGGCGGCCGCCTACAAGTTCCGGGGACGTGCCCGCCGCCTGCTCGGCGACTTCGAGCTGGCCGCCAAGGATCTGCGGCAGGCGTGCAAGCTGGACTTCGACGAGGAGACGGACGAGTGGCTCAAGGAGGTGACCCCCAATGCCAAGAAGATCGAGCAACACCGCGTCAAGCAGGAGCGTCGCCAGGCGGAGCGCAAGATCAAGGAGCGCCAGCGGGCGCAGAGGCGCGCTCGCAAGGAGCAGGCCAAGCAGAGCGCTAGTTCTGGGGGCTCAGCTGGCGGATTCCCCGGCGGGTTCCCAGGTGGCTTCCCCGGCGGATTCCCTGGTGGATTCCCCGGCGCAGCTGGCGGCGGCGGCATGCCAGGCGGCGGCATGCCAGGCGGCGTTGACATGGCCGATTTGATGGGCGCCATGAAGGATCCCGAGGTGGCTGCTGCCATGCAGGTAGGATTTCTATAAACATAAATTGAGGCAACTGTTTTTGAGACTGTTAATTCCGATTTAAAAGGTTAGTTTTTTAGCTAATGGAAGAAATAGCAAGCAAGAATTGTTTAGAAGCAACTGAAAAATAAAAATTCACACTTATAGGTATAATATTTTTAAATATTAAACAAAAGAACGACTGTTTTCACATAAATTTTAAAAAAGCCTAGCAAAAATGTAAATTTATAAATAGTTGTAGGTTTTTACCTTATGACAATATCAATCAAAAATAGTTTCATGAAGCTAATACTATAAAATAAAAATTTAACTTCAAACTTAGATACGAAGGATGATTAAGTTAAAAATACAGTTTTGGTTCACCCTTTTGCTAGTCATTGAAAAAACTTAGTCACAAGCATATAAATTGGTGAACTTGCTAAGGCAAGTCATGAAAAATACTTCAACAAATGAAGTCAAAATCAGTATCAAAGTTAATTTCAAACCACATTCTATTTTGCTCTATTTTGATTCTTGTGTGTAAAAACATTTCATTTTCAATAGTTTAAAATTCATACAACAATTGTTTAGTTTCTGTACCATTTTTTGTTGGTTGTATTTATGTTTATAGTTACTGATAACTATTTAAATAAAATGAATATGGTGTTTCTAAGACAATCCCTTTAAATGAACAAAATGAATGCTAACGAAACGATGTTTTCTCCACAGGACATCCTTGGCAATCCGGCCAACATCACAAAGTACGTGTCCAACCCAAAGATCTTCAACCTGATCAAGAAGTTCGTGCCCGGCGGCGATGTAGGAGCTGCTTTTGCCCAGGCGGAGGAGAAATCGGAGGAGCCGAGCGAGCCCAAGACCAAGAAGGGATCCGCCGACTTCGTGGACGATGGCTTGGACTAAGGACAACCAGGGATCCCAGGGACTCCATATAGGGAACACACACACGACACATGCGCGGCGATGAAAATGAGTTTGCAAATCACACACACACACACACACGAAACAGAGCGAGATAAAAACAACGGCAAACAAAGAGAGAGCGAGGGAGAGCGATGAGCGATGAGTAGAGGCGGGGAATCAATAAAAAAAAAAAAAAGGAAAAGAAAAGAAAAGAAGAAGGAAAAGCTGCTGCCTTACACATTTTCCAGCTTGCAATTAACTGGAACATTTATCTTAAATCACACTTCAAAAAAAATCAAGGATTGGCGAACCAGATAATATATATATACATACAAGCAGTCAGAAGCAAAACAAGAGAAGAAGAGAAGAGATGATGGTGATGATGGCCCAACACATTTTACAACAGCTTTTTCTTCACCATTAAGCCACTGATGAAAACACAACAAAGAGCTAGAGTACATTTTAAAGCTTTTTTTCAATTTTCACACAAGAAGATCAGCAAGTGTCCTGTAAAGAAACCAACTACGAATGTTTCCTTACTAACATTTAAAGGTCTAAAGTCAAGTCTGTCGATCGATCTAGTTGAACTAAAGCTCGATAAGAAACCAAAACAAAACAAAAGAAAAGAAATAAAAATATATATAAATAATTAGCCTTAATTAACGATACTCGGAGACATCAATTATAACAGGTCGAAAAAACGGAAAAAAACGGAGCAAACTAATCACACCATTTTGTCAAACAAAATTGTACTGAGTAGGATTTGAGTAATATATATTGTACTAAGCAAATGCATTTAGCCACTCGAAAAGCAAACATTCGCCCACTCATATTCACAACATATACAATATATTCACATACACATTTATTCACGGCCTGCAGCCGACAAGTCGAGCATTCATTCAACCGTGATCAATGGAATTAAATAAACGAGAATCCGAAGTGCTAATCAACCCTTTTTACTGGCGAACGGGCTAAACGAATAGCGTTCTTTGCTAAAATAGTGATTGACAACATTTGAATGGTTCGTGGGAGGGACTATTCAGTGCTTGGGTCAAAGTCAAGTAAGTATTCTAAACATAAAACTTTTCGTTGGACTGACTTTAGCCTAAAATGGTCAAGATACGGGCTCCAGAAGTGCAGTTTTAGTTAACCTTTGTGCAACTAAATTTAAGACTACATTAGCAGAAAAGGACCATAACTTTTCAAAAAGATATGCGATTTTAAAAATCCATACATTTGCAGGGTTCTAAATAACAATTAAAAAAAATGCGCTTCAGAGTTGCTTTTAAATTTTGGGTGTATTTTCTTGAAATTTTAATGATGTAACCTCTTCTTAATTTGTTCCAAAAATGGCCTTTCAGAAAAAAGCCTTAAAGCCATAACTTTTTTAACAGAATTCCGATTTGATAGAGGCATACATTGCCAGGTTTGTAGATTACATTTCAATAAATCTGCTTTAAAATGTTGGTTTCTAATTTTAGGTCGATTTTCTTAAAAATACTATCGAGTATAAAAGAAATAGTGAAAAAAAATTACCATTAAGGTGTATAATACCAATTCAAATTTCATTTTATTTTAGACGATTGAAGTAAACCACATTTTTTTTTGATGCCGCATTGGTGATTTTGTTTATATTTATTTAAAAAAATATTATAATATAATATATTGTATCCTTAAATGTTCATAAGTGATTGAAAGTTATTTTAGTATATTTCCAAAAATATCCTTAAGTATAAGTAAGTATATCTTTAAATGTTCATAAGTGATTGAAAGTTATTTTAGTATATGTATTTCCAAAAATGAAATTTTTTTTTTTTTTTTGGCAATCTCTTAACAGTTTTTATATGGCACATAAAAGTGAACAATGTAAGATTTGGTGTTATTTCTCTTATGGTTCAGATATTATATAACTTTTGCTTTCCTTTTTTTGAAAAGGTCGCACAGATGGATTCGTAGTAGTCCCTCAAAAGCCAGCCGGTGCAACACCTGTGCGGGAACCAAGGGGACATAGTACTCTATGTTTGGTTACTAGTGCATTGTGGGCATGGAGTGCACAAAAGCGTCGTCGATTAGACGCTTCAATGGCTGCACCCTGCACCCTGCACTCAGAGCTCAGAGCCCAGAACCTATCACCCATCCATCCACCTTCCCCCTGTTTCTTGTCAGCGCGAAATTGGCTAACGGACAGCTCGGCGCACATGTTCGATTATGGCCGAATCGAGCGACCAAGCAGAACCAGCCGCACATGACTGGGACCCTAGAGGTGGAAAGTGTCTAGTTGGGCGTACCTTTGCGTACTAGGTGTCCTCTTTTTTCCCACTTTACTAGGTACAATACATTTTCGATTTTAACCCAATCTTTTGACTGAATAAATTACGTTTTTTTGATCGTATATTAAATATTTAAAGTCAAAATTGGAAAAATGGTAAATGGTAAAGCGGAACTAAAAAAAATTTTGTTTTATTTAAAAAAAATGTAATATCAACATATTCAGATATATGATTATGATAAACGAAACATGTAGAATGTGAATATATATTTATCTAATTTTGTGGATGAGACAAGTGTACCCGTGTCAACGCTGAATGGACCCATGGGCTCGACCGAATTTTTAGGGCGGTATGGGGTTCGATCCGGGGTCGTCCTCTCTCTCCATCGCCCCTTAGCCGTTCTCTATGTGCATGACTGAGTGTCCGGGGTGGTGTTGCGTTTGTGGATGTGAGTGTGAGTGTGAATGTGGATGTGGATGTGGATGTGAATGTGAGTGTGGATAAAGTGCGGAAGGAGGCGGAGGATTGCGCAGGCGCAGCTCAGCTTAGTTCGGCTCGACTCCTGGCGGCCCATCGCATTCCGTGGCCAGTCGCAGCGCGAGACGGTTAGCCAGTGCGGACCACCTCTCTCTTGACTTGAATAATAGAAAAGAAAAAAAAAAACATTTTGAAAAATTTCATAAATAAATAGAAAAAACAAACATTTTTTTCCCGTGCCACTCACTTGTTTTGCCCACAATTTTAGTGTGTTTTGTGCTTTGTTTGATTGAAATTGAGACAATTAGGAGGCGACACCATGATTGTCAACATGGGCAGTGCAACCAGCCCCACAACGGATCCCATTAACACTAGCAACAACAACAACAACAACAACAACAATGGCAGTGCCACCAATCAAAATAATAACAACACGCCCGATTACAACTTCCTGAAGCGCAAGTACCAAGATCAGGATCAGGAAGATCTGGTCCTGGGCCAGGACTACGAGCCCATCGAGACGAATCCCTGGAAGAAGCGGCACCTGGAGTACGACGTCCCCGGCGACCTGCAGTTCCACTTGCAACTGGAGCAGCAGGGCAGCAGTGGTAGCAGCAGTAGGAGTAGCAAGCCAGCACCTGCCCCAGCAGTCACAGCGTCCTTCATCAACGATCTGTTTGCCTACGATGGCAGTCTCCTGGTGCCCGCCCCTGCCGTCGGCTACTCGCACTGCCCGCCCTCGAGCAGCGTTCCCCTGGAGGACACTGGCGGCTGGACGGGCGGCGAACTGCTCGAGCTGGACCATCGCTACAACTCCGGTCTGCAGGCGGAGCTTGGCCAGCTGAATGCCACTTTGCCGCCGCCACCGCCACCGCCGCCGCCGCCGCCGCCGCCAGCGACACAAAACACATCAGCTCAGCCACAGCAAAGCCCACTTAATCCCAGCCAGAATAGCAATGCGAACCAAAACCAAAACTTTTTGGTCCCACAAAAGCAGCAGCAGCGGATATTGTCGGCCGGGCGACGCACTTCATCCGGTTCGGAGACCACCGGCGAGGCGGACTTCGAGGACAAGAACCTGTCCTGGCTGCTCAACTTCAAGTTCGACGAGTTCCCGCACCTGTCGCCGCACAGTCAAGCCCAGGCAGTCGTCCATCCGCCCGAGGGCAGTGCTTGTGCTCCTGCTCCTGCTGCCGCCCCTCCAAATCCTCCCACGGTGTCCTGCAGTTCCGCCTCGCCCACATCCGCCTCCGCAACGGCCGCATCCGCCGCATCCGCATCCGCCACCAACTCGAATCATTCGGGATCGGGCTTACTGGATCCACGGGCCAGATCGCCCAAGAGCAGCTGCGCCAATGGGTCAATGGCAACGGGAGGAGGAGGAGCACCAGCTCCACTGGGCGGCCCCACCAAAGCGGGACGCAAGTTCGAGGAGCTGGTCATGGAGGTCACCTCGGAGCTGGACGGCAGCGACATGATCGTCGCCGAGCACGTTGTCGTCGAGGACACCTCTTCCAAGGCGTGAGTACCAAAAAGTACTAGTAAAAATAGAGACATTTTATATGTAACACTTAAATTAAATATTAAATCAATATATTTAAGACAATGCACATAAGATTGCATGATTTAATATTAAAATATTTCAATTCATGTGGAAAATGTTAACAATAAAATAGTCGCCTTTTCAATTGATATGTAATATATAATTTAAATATGCTTTTCATTTAAATTACATTTTAGATATCAAAATCAATTCCAAACAATATTTTCATATTTAAAATACCTAAAAATCGCTATGGATTTAAATTAAATCGAAAAATATTTGAACTGAGAATAAAATATTTGAATTTTCTACGTTTTTTTCCCTTGAATATAAATATATACATCAATCTATAAAACTACTACACATATATTTTTAATGAATGATTAATTTACAATATAACTATGAATGATTAATATACAAATAATATAACATCAAAGGGTTCACAATTTTCTTGATATTTTATTAAATATTCAAAATTATACGAAAACTAACAAATACCATCATTTGTTTGCAAATATTTTAATTTTTTTTTTGGAATTTTGTTGTTTAACGAATAATTTGGTACATGTTTTTGCAATTTATTTTCATCATAACGATTTAAAAGCTGCGTGATTTATTCAATAACTAGCTAGTTACTAAAAAGCTATTAAACGAATTGACTGACTACGAAATTAATGATTTCCGGTAGCTGTAAACAAACTTAAAATGAAGCGCACAGCCTTTAATTTTGTTTAATTTTGCATATTCAATTTGTTTAAAGCTGCAAATTAATTAATTGCATGTCATAATAAATTGATTAATAATTGTTTTGTTTTAATTTTGATTAAAACTTTACTTACAATACCTTTACATATTTTCTAATATTTTGTATAACCTTTATTCCAATTTGTTTACATTTTCATATTTAATTTGTTTTAATCTGCAATAAATTAGAACTAGTTTAAAGACTGATTACTTGATTAATTATGGCACATATTGTGATTTTGCTTTCAACTTAATCCACAATCCCTTTTAAATGCAATATATTTTTACATATTTTCTAATATTTTGTATAATCTTTATTCCAATTTGTGCTTTCACCACTTGCTTTTGCCGCCGTCCTCCAATCGATGCCACCGACGATGAATTCCACCCACCCCACTGCTTCGACAAACGAATAAACGAATGAACGAATGAACGAATGAACGGATGAACCACCCACCCATTGGACCACCCACAAAAACGGTTGTGAAACCCGAAACCAACCACCGCAAAACAAGCAGGCCAAAGAAACCACCGTTCACCTACACGGAGCTCATCGAATACGCCCTCGAGGATAAGGGTGAGCTGACTGTGTCGGGCATATACCAATGGATATCGTAAGTACCACCCCCCCTGAACCACCCCCCTGAACCACCCACCACCCATTTTGATGGACGCCATTTTGTAGAGTGTTTCACCTTTTATTATTGCTGATTGTTGAGGGCAAAAAGCGCCAGCCGGATGCAATTAAACAAATCTCAAGCATTTTTCTTGGGCATTTCCCGTTGGCCATTTGATTTCCGCGCTCCTTTCAAAATAGGTGTTTGTATGGTGTTCGTATGGTGTTTGTATGGTGTTTGTGTTGTGTGTTGTTGCTCCTTGGTTGTTAACCAAACAACCAAAACAACGGCAACA